CTTGGTTGCTTTCTGCTCTCCTAAAAGTGACTAATTTTTAGCGGTTTCATGGAAACCCATTAGCTAGCAAGAAGTTGAAGTCCTAACCTCCCTTGGCAAAATGCAGCAAAGGTCCAAAGGTGCAGAAATAAACTGGGTGCTTGTCCCCTCGCAACTGCAGGCATTGGGATTGTTCTGCTCTGAGCAACTGAGAGAATTGCCGCAAATCCATCCAAGTTAACAAGGCTGGAATTAGGACCCCAGCAACAAAAAACCTTTTTTTTGCCTGGCTAGTGGAAAACAACGGGATCCCAAAGAAGCAACAAAAAAGCCAAAAGGGGAGCTAATTCTGGGGAAGAAAAAACAAGGCGTGGGATTGAGACGCAGCCACACAGTCACTCCTTGGACAGTGGGCATGAAAGACAAGCGAGGGGGTAAGGATGGTCCCTTTGCTGTTGCTGAAACGGACACCCAATGCCCTTGCTTGCATTGAACTTGGAGTCAGTGGAGAAAATCCTATCATTGGCCTTAGATCACCGTGGCCACTGTGCACCATGTTCCCTTTCAAAGCGCTCACTTTCGAGGTTTATCTTGAGGATGACCCCAAGTGGTCATTGTCAATTAAAGTGGAGAAAACAACGACGCTCTGGACTTGAACATGTGCCAAACGCGGCAGGATGGCCATTCAGCTCGTATAAGTTTGCAGCTCATTCATCGTTATCAAATACCATCCACATCAAATGTCCGCCTTCAAAACTGCTGTATATATATATATATACTATGTGTTTCATATAGACTACGGCTTTGTTTGTCAAACATGTGTACACATATATATATATATATATGTACTGAAACTGTAATGAACATTCCGTAATATGTACGTGTGTCGAGAATTGTTTGCTTTACACCGTACAAGAAAGGGCAAAGATGTCGTGGACACAGCTGGTTGGCTTACTTGGTACATTCACAGAGCAAATACCGGTGTTGGCGGATTCCTTTGGTGTCACTGAACCAACTAAACAAACATATGTTCAAAGCAACATAACTCAGAAGCCAGAATCACAAATGCCAAAGCAAATCAAGGGACGGAAGGGACCTTGATGGGTGAGGTCGTTCCCCTTAACAGGGATCCGTACATTATACACCTGAACATTGCCTTGTAAATCGTGGTTTCCCTTTTTTGTTTTGGTGTTGAAAAAGCAACATGTTTCAAATGGTGGCAAAATGGAGATCGTTTAAGGAGCCCCTGTATTTTGCTGTTGAAAAAAAGGCCAGCCATGTTTCAAATGGTTGCAAAAAAAATTTTCAGGAGCCTCGTAACTTGCAACAAGCCTTGCCCAAACGAGCCGTGTTTCAAATGGTTGCAAATCGACATGCCTTGACTTGAACAAATGGGTACCCTGCTTAAGCTCTTAACTTGCAACAAGCAAAGCACCGGCAAGCCGATCCGAGAGTGGGAGATGCTCGCACCTGCAGGAGCCTCTGCTGCCGCTGCTCTTCTATGAGATTCCTGGGCCGGGCACAAAATTCCTTAAGGGGAACGGGGGAAACCCGGGTCCCCAATTCCATTTATCTTCCCCATAAAAGCGAGAATGGGTTGCCACATATGGAATTCTAGGAGTCACCCCCCTCCCCCAATTCCATTTTTGAGGGGGTGGGGATACGCATCAAACATCAAACATCTATCTCCATTGGCATTTTCGCCCTCTGGAAAAAAAACACATATATGGGAAAATACGTCCAATGGTGAAATCGATTCCCGTCAACACCAACAGCGGAACATATTCCTAAGCAAATGGAAGTCTAAACGAACTGAGTGACTACGGTTCGAAGCTGCTTTGACCATCAAAACATGTCACCCCGCTTCAAGGGAGCATTTACTTCCCCAGCATCCCTGTCTTTGTCGGGCCTTCTAGCACCCCAAGCAATCTACATGAGGGCCTTCCACTGCAGTGAGATGAGCGGTGCCAGCCACTTTGACAAGGTGCCCACCGGTACCGCCGTGAACGCAACTTCTTGCAGCTTGGTTTCCGGGTGCTACAAGCCTTAACAGACTGTCTGACACGAAGAGGTTTCTCATAGCGGTATGGAGGGGCATACGATTTACCTCGCTGATGTAAACCTGACAAGATACATTCCGTAATGTTGTCCCCGGTAGAAATCTAAAAACAGCCACTGCAAGGAGAGCCAACAAGAACATGAGCGCGTGCCACTTTGTAAGTCCTCTCCTGCATATGTTCACCCTGTTGAATCAGTTAGCAGAAATCACAAACCCTCAAGGGAACAGGAATGCTGATCATCATATCCCATCATACACCTTTCATTGACCACCAATACATGCCTTAAAATCCTCGTCTCGTTTGGTGTCCGCGAGGGCTGATCTGTTCACTTGAGCTTATCTGCAAATGCAAATAGCAACACACACACACACAGAAAAAAGACAACACGGTGGCTTGTTCGTTTTCCCTGTGAAACAATTCTATAGGGTATATCTCACTGGCTGAGTGGATGGCCCAAAAAAAAGCCCAAGCTTTACATTTACCACCAAAATGGTCTTCCCAAAAAGTTTTTAAACTTCATGAACTTCGGAAGTGAGTTTTAAAGGGAAGCCACCACTCTGTTTTTGTGGTCCCCCGGTTTTTCACGCACTTGTAGTCCTAAAAGAAAGGCGAAGGACACAGTACCAGGAAGTGAGATATACCTCAAAACAAAGAGGAAGGCCGGATCTGAGCCCTCCGGCGCTTCCTTCTGCGCTTGCAGCTCTAACGCCAGCTGTGCCTGGGGCCACAGGCCCCTCGTCTTGACCAACTCCCCAGTCAAAGTACGAGACGACGCTCAAGCCGCGTGCTTTTTTTAGTTGTTGCTTGTGTGTTGTTTAGTTGTTGCTTGTGTTTTCTTTAGTTGTTGCTTGTTTTTTCTTAGTTGTTGATTGTTTTTTTTAGTTGTTTATTGTGCCGAGTGGCCGCCGTAAACAGCTTTTTGATCTGATTTATCATGTTCAATGGGAAAGGCAACCGACTGGTCCAAATCCCACGTGGATCTCAGGAAGTCCCGCACCTGACCAGTTCTATTGACGACTTGGTTGATAAGAACAGCCCTTGCAACAGTCCCTTGCGAGCAGTTTTCTCTGGGTCGAACTTGCAAACAACAGACCGGGTCGGCGGGCTGCCCATGGCAATGGGTTTTTCTAGGGACAACTGGTAGACCTTTATAGTACAACAAACTCCTGGCTGCTCTGTGATTCTGGATGGGCGAAAAATTGGACTATGTAATAGGATCGGCAGAATGTCAAAAATATGGTATCCAACATCCGAATTGCGAAGACATGAAAGGATCTTTATGAATGGGTGAGCTTGTTTTGCCGCAAGGTGAATCTTGCCGCAAGTGAGGCAGGCAGGATACCTTTAGGTTGTTGCCTGACACAAACATGTCTGCTACCTGCTTAGTTTGGATCCGTTTGGGGTTGAAACGAGGAGCATCAGCTGGTCAGGAAAAAGCAATTACTTCCAACAATCAGGCAGTCGAACAGAAATCAGGTTCAAGGAAACTTGCACGAAACGAGGCATCCCTACCAGCCAACCTTCCAGCGACGCATGTGCAAGCCGTCAAGAACTAGATACGGGGGCAGAACAGAATCCGACTCGCCTGCTGCAAACCCAAGCGAAACCTGTATTCATCATTCGCAACGGCGGCTCATCTCGTAGCCCTTAGGCGAATGTAATACAATAGTTTGCTGGATGTCCGCAACCGTCCGCATTTCGAGGAGCCTAGAAGGGATGAAAGGGGAAAAAAGTGAGCGGTTTGTTTCGTCCCTTTGACTCAAACTCACCTGTGCCACGCATGCGAACATGACGTGTCGCAAAACATGCACGACCAGAACGGAACATAACTGGGCTGTCCGTTCTCAGATCCCTTGCAAAAAGCTTAACTGGCGGGTAAAATGGAGACCCCCCACCAAAAACAGAAGCCTTCGTGGTATCCCCAACAGCCACGGTATCCTTCCGGAACCCTCCAGAAAGCCTGAAAGCTGCCACGAATCACCCCATCTGGGCAGAGACCCCATAGCTTTCAGCTGATGGGGAAAAACCAACTAAAAACCTACTAGGTCCTCCAGTAGAGAGGTTAGAATAAGGGTACCGATTCTTTTTTCTGTAGTCTATTTTAGTAGACAAAAAAGTTGGGTGAGAAGGGCACTACTGAGGGACCTAGCCTAAAACCGCAAGGAACCACCAGCAGAGTCGGTGGGCAACACCACCAGCCTCCGCTTCCGCCTGGAGCCTTCGCTGCTCAGCTGCCTCGAAGACCTAACAGTCGCGCAACTCTTGAGGTGTTAAGGGATGGTTCCTAGCTCAAAGGGTTCCTTGTTTTTGGGCCTGGTTGGTTGGTTGGTTGGTTGGTTGGTTGCTTGGTTGGTTGGTTGCTTGCTTGGTGGGTGGGTTGGTCCAGAGAAAAACCGGGCACAAGTCACAGGCCGCACATGCAAAGGTGCGAGGCTTCCCATGTGTCTTCGCGAACGAGAGTGGTGGTGTTTCACGGTGAGGGACGGTTGCACGTCTGCAAGAGGCTTCTGTGTGTTTTGTAACTGGACAAGGAATTGGCCCAACTTTTGCTTTCCAACACCACCATCAACATCTGCCGCATGGCAACAGCACTGAAACCGCATCTCACACAAACCGCATCGAAAGACTGTAGGTGAATGGCTTGGGATTGGTGCTAGTTTGCTTGACAAGCTCATTGGAGGAATACAGTCAACAGTTGCACCAGGGGATACTCAAACACGAATTTACTATGCCTGTGAGTCGGCCTGTGAGTCTCAGGCGAGAAACACATGTTCAGTGCAAACTGCTCTGTGTTGATTCCACTGCATTGAGACAATGCTTCGCGATTGATGCAACCATCTAGCGTCTTCCTAGCGGGTCTCTTCATATCGAGACATAGTATCAAGACCACTCCCCAGGCCAGTGATTTTTTTCTGCTCGTGCCCTTCGTACAAAAGTATCCATGAGTTGTATCATAACCCTATGATATCCGATGCGTCTAAGCATTCGCCGACCAGGGACCTCCGAGGCTATCCACAGCCAGGTTTTGTAGCATAGTACAGTTTGCACTTCTCCGCGCTTAGGCTGCCCAAGGAAATGACGGGAACACATCTACGTGCATGTGGGAAAATGAAAGATTCAGTAGCCATGCTACTCTTATCGATTGTTGCCCAGACTGCAAACGATGATGGCTGTGATCCCCAAAAGCGAGCTAGATGGTCGCAAAGCTTGACTCACTCTTCAAATTTGCATGTCTTTATGTACCGATCATGACTGATGATAAGAGCCTGTGAAAGTGGCTTTACTGGCTTGTCTTGAGACGTGGTGGGCAAGCTCAACTTGCAAAGGTTTGGCCTTTCGTACATGCAGGGAAGCTCACCACAATGCCGCTGTCGCTAGTCTGTGACGTGCTGTACAGCCCTGACGCTGAAACAGGCAAACGCAAATCTCACTTCCCGAATGTTTGCCACTTAAATGGTTTTCCGACAAAGTATAAAGTCTTGAACTCAGGAAGTGAGAACTTCCCACAAAACTCTAGCCTGAAACAAGTGGATGGGGCATCTCATGTTGATGTCCTATCATTATAAGCCCGGATCCTTACGTCACGCCTTTGCTACTTAAAGGGCCATTGTGCGTCAGGTAAGTGCTTAGGTAAGCCTGGTTTTAACACGCAAAAGCCATGGTTCTAAGTCTCCGTTCAGTGGGTAATTTCACCAGGCGTATTGACCACTTACCTGACGCACCGAATTGATCGCCCCTTCAAGTAGGCAAGAATCAACCAGCAATTTAGCCTCTCAAAGGCAGTCGTTGTCAAGCTCTGCGTTAAAAATATGAAACAATGGCGGCATCTGCATCAAATACCGACTACGCAGCTTCCACTGGCGCCCCCGCAGAGGTACGCAGCAAGTCATGCTGCGACACATACTCCTGGCGCAAACATCCCCCATCTGTAGCCCACGGAGGCATCCGGTGGTGCACTGTACTTTCGAAAACCACCATTGAAAGGCAGAGCATGTCCCAAGGCATACCCGAACAGCTTGTTGGGCAAGCACATGGAGTTCTCACTCTCCAAACCAGACATGAAATTTTGACAGCAAGCACCCAACGTACGCAGGCAACCTCTTTTGCGCATGACCTGCAAAAAGTTCAAGCCGCAGGCCACAAATCAAGGAATCGAGAAGCGCCTGAAGACTCGCAAGTGGACTCGTTTCCTGAGTGGACCAAACCAGCCATTTCCCCAGGGTTTTGGTGGATTTCTAGAAAGATCCCTGGAAAGAATGGGGAAGGTACCCCTAGAACGTTGAGAAATGTCCGAGACCAGGCAAGGCAGACCTGTCAAGACGCACAGGTTTCGACATCCCAGCTTTGACTGCCAGCGACTCGTTAGCGTTGTGGACATGGCTTGGCATACCTTGGTATTGGCATATGGGCCTGTCTACTTTGGAGGGTGTCCCCTTTTTCGTGGGTTTTGAACGGAAACCAAGAGGACAAAACACATTCTTAGGGGTCTCCAAAAAGAAAAGGCCATATGCCTCACGCCAGGCATTGGTCATTGATTGCCCGTGATGTCTGCTATACTCAGACCCTTTGCATAAGATATTGTCAGTTGGCCAGCTGCTGGGGGGGAAGTGCTTGAGTGCTCAGCTACCTTGCTGGACCCCTATGTGCTCCTCAATGTTGCTCAGGCTCTTCCCGAGAAATCCCTCTTGCAGATTGCAGACTGACCCGGGTTTGTCGATCGCAAGGTCCTGCGAATCCAACAACTTGGCTCACACTAATGAACTGCTCAGGGGGAAAGAAGACCAACAGAACTCAATAGTGTGCTCTGACCAAGCCTACCCTGCATGCATTCAGTGTCGAGAAATCTAACATGTAACCCTCGTGTATGGCTTGCCAGGCGTCAGTCTCTCATCGGCTGTGCAATCCTACCCAGGGCAAATGGCGGGAGACCCTCCAAAAATCGGAAAACAAGCTGGCCCATGCTTGGATCAACGAAGGCACCAAACCCTTGCCACTCGGACGAGCAGTCTTGACACACCTGGCAATGCCAGTCGTCAAGCAGATATCCAGGGCTACCTTCCATTTCCATTCTTTCCAGGGATCCGAAACTTTTCAGGAAACCATCAAAAACCCAGGGGAAACGGATCCGGTTTTTGAGAAAAGAACGATGGTTGAAAAGAATGGAAGAGGAATCAACCTTGCCTCAAAGAAGATCCAGAACTCGTTGAAGGTGACCTGCGGGTGCTCTATGTAAAGAGCGGCCGGGCCATGGTCAAAATGCTGAAAGGGCCATGGGCGTTGTTTAGTGGTCTAGTATGTAGTCCCTTGGTTTTTTGGTGCCCGAAGTCTTAGTAACTCTCGCGGTCCCGCATGAAAATGCGCAAACATCGCAGAATTCCCTGGGAAGCACAGTCATGAAAATATATTCTCTTCTGTATGCCCTGCCCATGATCGTTTCTACACCTGCCAACAAAGTTGTTCTATCACCTGCCGCCCCGCTGTTAGGCCAGTCAGCTATGTAACTTCCTTTGATGCCATGGCAGCGCAAACAATTGTCTGCCCACGTGTGTTGCTTCTTTGTCAATGGTATCTTTGCGGCTATGGATGTTTTGAGCCTGGAAGAAACACCCCTTGAATTATGGCGATTATTTTCCGAAGTGGTGCCAGAATGTGTGCAAGCTCAGGGAGGAGCCAGCTTGCTTTTGGGTACTCGTATCTGGGTTGCCCTCAGATCCCCCGCTAAAAGTTTAACTTTTGGTGGGTTACATGGAAACTACCACTAAAAACTAAAAGGCTAAAAAGCGAAGGGGATGGCTGGGAGCCACCAAGGTATATAAGCTGGGGAGTCGTGAAGTGCCCCGGGTCAGCTACCCAAAAGTCAATCCATGGTTGGCTTTGCAAAGCAATCCATTCTGGGTGAATTATCATATGTCACCCATTTTTGTGCATCCGAATCGGTGACTGGTGGCCGCGTTTTTAATATTTCACCAAACTGAAGGTGGTTGGGGGGCAAATAGCACACATAAACCCACCTTTGGGGTGAGTTCGGTCGTGCGAGGTCGCTGTAATTCACCCAGAATCCATGGCTTGCTTCAGTCAGCATGGAACGCCAAGCTCAGGAAGCCGATTTCTGCGAAGCTTCCTTTGGCCCGAACAAAAAGCACCCCGGGAACATCTGATTCGGTGCCGGTTTGCAGCCCTTTGCGCGGTTGTGGTGCGCAACGCCATGACCAAAAACTGTACTGAAGCCCAAATGCACATGCTCATCCCCGCATGATACAACTCAAACAGAGTATTGACCAAGTGGCAGGTGTCAATGCTGTTCTGCTATTCAACAGTCCGAGCGTTGGACTCCTCCTAAGTGCGGTACTTTGCAACATGTTTTCTTGTACCGAGACTAGGGCCAGGCCAATTCAGTAAGAAGCCAATGCACATTTGAAAGGATTGTGGATTGGCCGACGGCTTCCTTTCATTGCCTTTGCTGACTTTTTGCCGGGAGTGGCTTTGAGCTGTCCATGCATCACAGGGACAATTCTAGCTCTACCCTCCCCATTCTCTTCAGGGATCCTTCTCTTCCAAAAACGGCCCAAACCCCTGGAAAATAGGTGATGTCTAAAGAGAACGATGGGTGAAGAGAACGCGGAATTAAAGCTGGGAACAATGCCTCCGTGTCACAGATGTCAAGCTGCACTAATAAAGCCGTGTCGACCAGCCCAGTTGCAAACAATGTGACCCGACCAGGGGCCACCAATTGTGAGCAACATGGTGCCGGGTGTACCGTTTCAACAGGTTCGATATCTTCCATACCCGGCATCCATAAACACAACTCAGCGATAACACGTTCGTCCAGCTGGAAATGAGGCGACAAAACCATCAACATCCACATATCCATCTGTTTGGACGCTTCATTTTCCTACTGAGACGCCAACATCGCCATCAAAAACTCGCCGCTGTTTCCATTTCACGTAGCCCAAGGCCGCCAGCCCAACGCCTTCTCAGGGTCGACGCAGGGCACTTGGGCCGCAAAGCTGGAAGGAAGGCTCCTGGCCGGTGACCGTCTACAACTGTCCCATGTGCTGGAAAAATCCAATGGGCACCAGAAAAAACAAATCCAAGGGTTGAAAAATATCAAGTCCTTTCAGTGTTTTTCCTCTTGTTTTCCCCGTTCCAATGGGCATGCCATGTTTTTACCGGACCTTTTGACCAACCCCAACCTGTGGATCCTCTTGTCAGGCATGCAAAAGCAACCCAAAGAAAAGCGCCAGGGACGTGGACACGTCCCCAAGTCTGAAGCCGCACTTTCCGCAAATTACACGCGAGTGATAATCAAAACCGATCGGTCTCAAAATAGGTCGTACTCCCAGAACCATGCTTCAAGCAACAAGAGACGCCGGATATGCTGGACGCGATTTATGGCGGTTGGGATTGTCCCTTAAGCTTCATCCATAGCCCGGTTTTGAGGACGTGGCTGTGTCTCTTCCTCACCTGAAAGGCTGAAAGCCAGAGTACACGACTGGGACTTCAATTTGGGTCTCGAACCATCGATAGTGCCCCAAGTCCCATGAGTGAGATACGGCAGTTATTCGCCACATGGTTGATTTGTTCCCACCCCGTTCTCCAACCTTGCACCTGTTTCAATTCTTTCACCTTGTTTTCCAACACCGCACTATTTCTTAACCACCTATATGTCATGGCCCTACCTCGCTTTTGCGGGGGTGTTCCTACCTCGTGTTGCACCCAATTCAGCATGCTATCAACAAAATGTGTCCGCCCGACCTTCACTACAGCCCATTGAAACTTGATTTGTTCATTCAGCATGGGCGACCAGCAATCATAGCAACAAGAAGCCGAGCTTCTTAGCGGATGGAAAAAAAAGGGGGAAAATCACAGCTTCTTCGCACCACGTGCGTGCACCGCAAGAAGCTCAGTTCAACAAGCAATACCTAGCAATAACTTGTTTCGGTCCCCTCGGTCCCGCGCCTAATGAACTCGCCCTCCAAGTTCCATGAGGTGTCCAGTTTCTGCGCGACGCCGCGACGTGGTGCCGCTCTCGGATCAGAAATTTGTCTCAGGTCACTTGACTAGGTCCTCCAGTAGAGAGCTTGGAATAAGTTGGTACCCGATTTTTTTTCTGTAGTCTATGTTCGTAGAGGAACCCTCCCCCAAAAAAGTTGGTAAAAGGGCACTAATTGTTGGGGGACCTAGTTGAAGTCAAGCAAGTCTTACCAGGTGAAAGTTGCCTGCCATGCTGACCTTAGCTATCCAAGGAATGGTTCAGTTGGGACTTTGACAGCTGGAAGCCGTTGGGTGGCTACGATCAGCATGGCAACTTTCAGACCCTTTGACTTCAAGTCGTGAGGGCTTCATTTCGGGTCATGAAAAAGGTAATTACGCATCAAGGGTCTGCGCCCCAAAACCTGTTGGACACAGTTTGCCACATGGCTACCCTTGGCACAAGCCATAAAGGTAGGGGGCAAATACAAACAGAAGAAAGTGGGGGACACAAATCTGGCGTGCGAACACAGCCTCTCTGGGCTTCGAGCTATTGCCATGTTGCGCCTGGTAACGCCATTGGGACCATCTCGCTATCCCTGATACTGCGTGCTCGAGTCTGTGGGAGGCTACAGGATCTGGGCTTTCCCTTGCAGCTCCAATCCTGGGTTCGCCCAACTCTCCTCAGTGACCCTTCACATTGCCAACACCCCAAACCATAGGCGTCCCTTTTGGGGCAAGTATTATATTGATGGCCCTGGTAGATGATGAAACCACCAGGGAAACCAGGAATCGAAACCCATCTGTGTTTCTACCAGAACATACCAAAACCGGCCCAAAAAGGACACCTCTGCCCCAAACATTGAGAGCTCCATCAGTGGTTTGAGTGGATCAGTAAGGGTTGGGCCGAGTACTTGGTGGCTTTGCTGGCTTTGCTCGAGGTCCTTGAATTCATCAGTTCTCAGTTCGACCCAAGAGGATCCCAATATAAGTTGGCACGAATGAAACATCAGAAACTCCTTTGAATTGTGGGATTTTTCATGGGTAAACCACTTGCTAAGTGGTGCAGGACTTCGTCCATCCACAGTATCGCTGCGAACATCTTCGGGGTTTCAAATCCTTGCATTCCTCGCGAACTTCGGCCGATGACATGTTGCGGGGCCGGCCATCGCCATCAACCATGACGCCCTAAGACAGGTTCTTGGTGGCTGTTGACCCCTCTGCGTGGCAGGTGTTTCACTTGTTGTGGGTTCAATTCGGAGAAAAACAAAATTTGATGCAAAGTGAAAGTTTAAAGATTCAAGCCAATAGCAATCAAGAGTTCAGCCGCAATTGTCATTGCCTCTGGCATAGGTCGCATAATTAGCAGCAATTTCGGCAGCTGAGGGTTAGGAAAAAAACCAGTCTGGATGCCGTCTGGCAACAAAACCGCTCGCCAAAAACTGAGTCGCAGCCCTGTCGTTTTCTTGGGAGGACCCCAAATTGGCTCCCTCCGGTCTTCCTCCCAGTTTCCCTGGAAAACCACCGACAAAAAGGTGGTACCCGAAAAACAGACAGACCCAAGTCGCCACGACAGCGGTCACAGTCCTCCAGGAGTTGCGTGATGTGGGGCGTGTCCAAGCCCTGGCCGTCCTTGCAGGGATCTCTACGCCGGACTTGGGACATACTGCGGATGGACAAAATCCTGCACCACTTTCAAACCATGAGAAACCATTGTTTGTTGGTATTTGCAGGGGAGTCGTCATTTCAGGGCTTCTTAGGTGGTGCAGGACTTCGTCCATCCACAGTAGTGCGAGACCAAGCGGCAAATGACCTGCAGCGATCCAAAGACCGGCTTAATGTTGGAATGACCCGAAGAAAAAATTACAATTGCTGCTTCAAGGGCTTGATTCTGGCTGAATTGGCACCTTCCTCATGGGTAAGGTCGATATCCCTTCTGCTGTTTGGTTGCTGTGCTTTGAATACTCAATAAGGGGTCCAAACAAAAAGTGCCAAACAAACAGGGTTTCCTTCAGTGAACTTGAGCCAGTGTTGTCCTTTAAACAACATGATCCTCTTAGTTCCCGCTAGGACTGTGAGCAGTTCTTCTGGCCCCATTATTTCGCCACTATCAAAGTCAACCCCCGTTTAGTGGTAAGCTCAAGGGAAGCCCCCAACCAGTTTCTGACTTGAACCCCAAAAAACTGCTCCAACATCATCTGGGCTGTTCGTTTTCGGATCCGCTAAAAGTGCATAACTAGTGGCTTAAATTCGGAAATCCAACCAACACTAAAAAGATCTAAAAGCCTAAGAAACCGGATGGCTCGGAGCTACCACTAGGTCCTCCAGTAGAGAGGTTAGAATAAGTTGGTACCCCACTTTTTTCCGGACCTCGATTTTAGGGGAACCCTCCCCTAAAATAAAAAAAGAAACGGTACCAGGGCACTGGGGGCACCTAGGTCCCAAGTAACGAGCCCCTGGGGGGCACCTTGACCAAGTAACGACCCCAGTTCTTCGCTAACGACCCGAGGCGCCGCAGGCGCCGCGGGCCTGTGACATGAGGTGCCAAATGTTCTCGAACTCCGGCAGCCGCCGCAGCAGGTTCCGGCGGCCCCGCTCCACCTCAGCGAAGCTAACTTGGTTGACGTTGGGTTTGGGGAGCGAAAAACTAAATTTTAGCAGTTAAGTGGTTGGATTTCAACCACTAAGCCACCATAAGCAAAAATGTAGAATGTTTCCCAACGACAATCATGCTAACCCTTGAGCCGAACAAATGGCGATCAGGAATAGATGGGGTTGTCTCTAAGGGGGACCCCCAACATGGAGTTTGGTCTCCTTTTGGATTGCCTTTAACAACCAAACATGGGGTACCATTCAAAAAAAAGGAACCACACCCATACGCAGCAAATCCACAAGTTGAAAGAGCTTTTAAGGAGGAAAGCCACATAATAACTTTGCTTTCTAAACAATTTCAATGCAGCAAGCAGACATTTGGTGCAGACTGCATCTAGGGTGAGGTCCTGTTTCCAAGTTTCCCTTTTGCTCCATTTGCTCCAGATTCCAGTCACGTGGTTGCAACAAGCCCGGAAAACAACAACTATTGGGGCCTTTGGTGCCTAGCAGTGCCCCCCCTAGAATTCCGGGCCTTCCATTTATATGGACAGTAGTGGCTTGAAGCGAAAGTGTCACAACCCATGATATAAGTTGGATGGGACAAAGCCAAACTTAGGTCAACTCATACTCATATCAATATCAACACTCTTGGACCACGGTCATATCTGACATCAACGAGTCAACTGATCGCTATATTCTGACATGCGCTTTGGTGCTATTCGAATGGCGCCGGCCCCTCGGCTCAACGTCTTCAGCCAATCTGAGCTGATTGGGACGTCTGCGTGAAGATGGTGGACAGCTACCCGTGGCAGACTGAAAGCCAAGGCGATGCAAGTAGTGTCATGCAAACACAAGAAATGTTTAAACATACTGGATGAATGAAGTCCTGCAACACTTTGAAACCATGGGGAAGCCATTCTTTGTCGGCATTTACAGGGGAATTTTCATTCCGGGGCTTCTTAGGTGATGCGAAATAGATTTTGAAACCATCCACAGAATCATCAATGCTCTTCGCAATTGCTCAAGATACAAAGAAACCCTGTGCCATTCGTGTGCATTCCGGCTGGGACACAAAAACAAATGCCATACGGTTCTTTGCGGCTTGTCAACACTTTGCTGAGCAAAATACGGGCCAAATATGGCCAGTGGCTACAAAGCATGACCACACGGGGAATCAAAATGCCAAATATGGGCTCCGTCAAAGGCATGACCAAAATGGCCATAAGGCTTTCCAGGATGAACAAAGATAGGGGTGATGGGCTGCGTTCCCTCTTCACTGCAACTCATTTTGTTTTCAGCCAAAGTCCACGATGCACTTGCAGGCCACGTCAGGCAAAAAAGGCAATCACCACACACTGGTCTCATCATTTTACCATGATCAACGTCACCCCCTAAGTGGTGGGTTAAGGGAAACCCCCTCGAAACCGTCAAAATAATGACCCCAGACACATGAAACAGCCCTTGGAGCTCTGGCAGAAGCAAGCTCCTGAAGGTGCTTGTACCTGGCACTTTCGTCGGCTTCAGGCGCGACAAACTGCACTGCTGACAGTGGTTTCAGAGCTGGGCTATTGATACAACTGACATGCGGAAAAAAGCTGGCAACAGGTTGCTGCTTCATTGTTTCGAGTCTTTATCCATGGCAAAACTGAGAGGAAAGCCTGCTTGTCTTTTTCCCCTTCTACCACATATTTTTGGGAGGTCTCGGTGCAAGTAACCCATGTTGACGAGTTCATTAAATCTTCAGCTTCGGACATGAACAACTCTCGCATGAGTGTGCCCAGGGTAGTCTAGGGTTCCTTTACGAAAGAGGAAGATAGATCTCTCTCGTTTCTAGAGAGTAAATCTTGCCATTCCGTGCTTAGATGTTTTTTTTTCAACCCTCCCGACTTCAAAGGGACGTCTACATGACATCGAGCTGGGTTTCGGGCAAATGGGTATGGCTCAAAATTAAAGAGCTGGGGCAAACCGCGGGGTTTTGGTCTTTGGTTCCATTTACCAAGGTGCCATGTTGGTACCTTGTTTTTGAACCACAGCCACCTGCCCACCTCTTTTTGGAGTGAAACTGGGCGCAACTTTGGCGCAACTTTGGCGCTTTGGCCACAGCCACAGCCAAATCAAAATCCCTCGGCTTCTGGTTCCCAACTCACCTTCCCCAGCTCCCGATTTGCGATTGCTGGCGATTTGGGGGTCGATAGGCCCAAGAATCGGGGCTCGATCTGATCAGGGTGGGGCAGCTTTTTCGGGAGACTTCAAAAGGGCAAAAGGAGGGTTCGCCAACATCGCTTGCCCGTGGGAATGGAACCAAGGACTAAAATTCCATTCCTGGTGACTAATTTTGACCCGCACCCATGTGGGCTTGCCTTGCACTTCGAGGTGGCCAGAAACCGTTGATGGCCCTGACCAGATGTGCCAGGATGGTGCCTCACCAATACCAACCGACAGGAAGGCACGCCGCCAACATGGACTTCAAGAGACAATGATGTTCATTCCATAGGCCATGGGTAGTTTCCAAGAGTCGAACGTGACGACAATCAGCTGATACTTGACTGCTGATAATTGCCAAAGTCAAAGAAAAAACGAAAACAAATAATATGGGATAGCTGTCATGCAGTGAAGAAACGATAGTCCCTGACCCGCAATGGCGCACATGCCGGCACGGTGGTCCGTGGAGTGCATCGGGTGGTTTCGGAGCAGGTACTGTGCCAACCTCCGTGAGGCAGGACGCAGGACGCAGTTTGGCTGCGATCATCTTGCTGGGCCAAGGGCGTCTCAACTGATTGCTCCGGTTGGCAGGCAAACACTTAATCCTAGGTGGCAGAAACATCTGGAAATGCTCGAAAACTTGCCCCCCCCCAAAAAAAAAAAAGAAGAAAGAAGGACACCGTGTTTTCTTGGGTACGACATGTTCATTGGTTTTTGAGGCTCCTGGTAGGTAGCAATCGTTTATGTTGGGACCCTATTCCAGGGCAGCTTCGAAGACTTCAGCGCCCTTTGCATGGACTGGAAAACGGGGCATAAACACCATCTAAACCAATGGAACCCATCTACGCTCAATCAAATTAACATTAAAAGGACACCGATAGGCCTTTGGCTTGGAATGGGGTGAGGGTCTGGCTTGCGGTTTAGGGTTCGTTTGCCGTGCGTTCAGGATATCGAAGGGTTCCGGAGTTCGGGTTGAACAAGCAGGCGAGTCAGGCATCGAGAGCACAGCCGAGGGCGCACCCTTGGCATTGTTCTGGGGGGGTCGCCGCTATGTTGGTTTGAGGTTGGGTGGGGGTGGGGGTTCGGGGCTAATTGGAGTGGGTTCGAGATTGGTTGAAGTTTTGTCGTGGCTGCGTTAGGTGTGTCGGCTCAGGACCAGCGTTTGGGTTCAGGTGTTTAAGGCTAGTCTGGAGGAACTTTCACTGGCCAAATCCGAACTTGGCTTTGCACATGCTCTGCGCGACATCTGCGCATGACCGTGCGACTGCGATCCGGCCAAGAAATCCATACCCGACCTTCGCGAAAGCGCTGCGACTGCCACGGAATCTGCACCTGACCTTGCGAAAGTAAGGCGCCTGTACCTGGCCTTGCGAAGATGCTGAATGCCAAAAGCGCGCTTCCGCGCCAAAAGTCCCTGCATCAAACATGCTGGCTCTCGGAGAGATTGCCTCAAGCTCACAGCCAGGCTGACTTTCGAGCATCCACAGGAACCGACGTCCGCAAAGGGTGGCGCTTTTCAACATGTCTATTCCCCCGCAACAAGCGCACGCACGTTTTTCGTGCGTGATTCTTCTTCTATTGTCTTCTGTCCGGGAGCTTGCTTTCCATGCCACAGGCCTTCTTCTAACCTTCCTTTGACTAAACCCACACCCCCAGTCTTAAACAACTCTCAGACAAAGATCCGTATTGTGAGGCCAAAGGACGTGTCCATTTTTCAGGCTCAGCGCAAACTCTGTCCGTGTCGCTCAAGCAATTTTGCTTGGGGGGGGGGGGAGGGCATTTCTTCTTCCGCGACCCTGGATGCAAAGAGTCCCAACCCCCAGTGCTGAGACCCCCGCCACGTCACGGGGTTAAATCTGCGCCCGTCACCAAGGGTCTTGCCGGTGGCGATCTTGTCCACATGCCTGCCGTCCGGCACGTGCTCCCTTCATATTGACTGCTTGAACCGAACTGGCGGGGCGGGGCACATTTGTTTCACACGCACTCACACACACACACAGACGTAAACCGCTTATGGTGATGCTGGTGCAGGTAGTGGAAATGGCTTCCCTCTACATATTTCAAGAAGGGGAAACACCAAGAAGCAAGAAGCTCGGGCAAGCTGCAACCCACTTAGCAACAATGCCCCCCCCTCCCGATGTTTGCTGCTTGGGGCCGATCTCCCCCAGTACTCTGTCGCGTTTCGCTTCACCAAGCCTTGATGTCTGCCATTCTGCAAATGTTGTTGTCTGGGTAGCAATGTGTGTTTTGTATCGACTCTCCAAGCCTAGTCTTTAACTGGCTGCATTGCAAGACAAAGCATGAAGTATGCAAACAAACCGTTGATCCGCAATGCCCTTCCTTCGCCATCCATGTCGCTTGGCGCTAGAAGAAATGCAACCGGAGCTTCGGGTTGCAGACTTCCAACATATGTTTCAAGCCGCGTGTGTTCCTTGAATCTAGCCTCCAGAAAGGATCTGTCAGAAGGCAAAGGCATGGCAGGAGGCGACTACGCCTGTCCCAACAAGAGTCCAAACTGTAATTCAGTTGGCATCCCCTCCCAACCAAAAAAAGGGTTGAACCCAAAGCAAGATATAGTTGGCACCCCCCCCCCAACAAAAACAAAACATGGTTGAACCCAAAGCGAGATACCGTGGGCTTGCTTCATTACATTCATCCTTTTGACCGCCTCCGGCCCCAGCCAACTTAGCCATGAGCAGGGGATTGTGAAGCAAGCCACGGCTCCACTTTGGCCGTTCCATGCTGACAAACATAGCCTGGTGTCCAAAGGAGAAACAAATGCATTCCAGCTACAAAGACAAGTCGTTTGTGGCATGGCAGCCAGAAAGAGAAGGGGCATGCCCCAATCAGCTTCCAGCAAATTGGTGGTTTGGAGCGTAATTTCGTGGCTATAGGTGGTTTCCCGTTAACCCTCTACACCAAAACACATCCATCCAAACCCCCAACAAGGGGGGGGGGGGACCTGAACCCAATGTTGCGTGGAGAAGGTACTTGAGAACTGGATGGGAACCACTCGAGTTCTGTCAATGTCTGCTCTTGACAAGAAAGAGCAGACCTCCCGTTGTGCTATGCAATACCTGTGCGAACATGCACGAAAGGCCGAACGTTGCGTGTAAAATGTACGGTTGCTGCTAAATGGCATATTGTTGTGGAGCAAAAACATCTACCCATGTTGGTGTTTGCTCCTTTTGCTGTAAACGACACAAACCAAAAAATGCTTGACAGGGTTTCAGCCCCCGTTCCACCCGAGTACATGTCCTTGAGGCGGAGTACTTTGGGGATCCCTCACATCCCAATGCGGCTGTGGGTCAAAAATGGGTACCCAAAATGGAACCCTGGTAAATGGAACCCATGGCTAAGAAAGGTGGGCCCCTGGTGGTTTAATTTTGACCCACACCCATATCGTCCAACAACGCTGCATGCGCGGCACCTCGTCAGGGCGTCCAGTCCTTGAAGAAGGACTGGCATAACCTCAGGGGACATGGTGGCGCTTGGTTCCCTCCATGCCGAGGCTCACACATGGCCATGGGTCAAAATCCAAATCGTACCCCCAGTGGACATCCCAATCCAACCACTAAAATAGACTCAAATGGGTGGTGAATTCACCTACCCCAAAATGGTAGCATTGGTTTTGACCCACAGCCACATGTTCAAACCCAACCAAAGAGTACCAATGCGGCGTGTCTGTCCTTTGGACCATAGACTGGAACTTTCACCGTAGCACTGGTTTTTACGGTGGGTTTAGGGCTGGTTGAAGGCTGATTTGCAAGTGAGCGGTGCTCAAAAAAGCTCGAGACTTGGGTGCTGATCCAAGGTCCGTGATGCATGGGATGACCATTGCTTGGAAAACCACGAAAATCGATGTGATTGTTTTTCCGCATGGTAACGTCTCATGTGGTCAAAACTGAGGGCCGAACCCAAAAATATCAACTTTCACATGGGGGCGAGTGCCCAAGTTACGGAAGAACATGCAGCTGCAAGACCTCGGTTGGTTTCTGCTCCCCTGCTAAAAGTGACTAACTTTTAGTGGTTTAGTGGAAAACCCATTAGTTGGATCAAAAAGTTAAAGTCCTAACAGCCCTTTGGCAAAATGCACCAAAGAGACGGCGGCAGCTGCTTGATGCTGCCAGGTGCATGTTGCCAGGCGCAGGCTGGTCCCGATTTCGGATCACATCTCTGAGCCTTCCCTGGGAGTTCCCACGGCATTTTCCATGAGGTAGACATCGAAGTCCCCCTCGGCCTGAGGAATTCTTCGCAGATCCCCCTTCCATAAGGGGGAGGGGGACCCGGGTCCCCCAATTCGGTTGATCTAGTATTCCCAAAAAAGGGGAAAAATGAATTTTAAAGGGAATTCCAGGGGTAACCCCCCTCCTCAAGATGAGTACCTTGTTCTCTTCTGGTTGCTCAATGCACATTCCTGGATTCTGTGTGGGTGTGCGAGCTCACGCCGCTTGCCAATCAGAATTCAATCATACGTCCGCCGGACGAACATCCTGCACCCATCTTGAACCATCCCCGGAATCGGCTTGAACTGGCACAATCGTTTTGAATCAATCAACTGAACCCAGCAGCTCAAGACTCGCCCTTGGCTGCAAAACAACCTGAGGGTTCACATCATGGTTTGGTACTGGCTTACTGATGCACTTGGGGAATTGGGCAAATCAATTCGGGTCCCAGGTTCCGTGGGGGCTGAGTCAAAGGCAAGTTTAGCAGTGTCTTTTGTGTTGCGCGGTTGCATATGGGTGTGGTGGATGCTGGGCATGGTGTTGCGGAAGCAACCAGACTGGTGCGAAGCGCCGAAGTCTCTCGGTCAGCAGCCAAGTCTTCCAAACCTTCCATTTGCCTAAGTCCACTGCAAAAGAATATAGTATTTCCAGTAGCAATATATAGATCCCCTTTAAAACCAACAGGGGAGAATGCAAAACATCAATTTCAGCAAATGGAATAAACCAGACATATATTTAAGACCCTTGAAATGCTTGGCCTTTCCACCACCTTGTCAAGATACACCTGACCTGGGTTTGTATGAATACAGGTCGCAGGTTTTTAGGACGCCAGAGCAACACCTCCCCAAACTGAACCCGCGGACAACCACGAAATCGCTGACCACCAGAGAATTCACTGGGTTTCCCCGTCAAAGGTCCATCAACTTACTGGCGTGTGCCCTTCAATCGATCGAATTCCACTTTTGGAGGT